AATGGGGGTTGTTCCCTTAACATTGCATCAACTATTGTGGTTCCCAACAGAGTATGGGATAGAGGAGGTCAAAGGAGATCAGCTGCAGGCAAAGAACTGCTCCATGGCAGCAATGAAATCCACCTGCAATATACGAGAACCACAGAAGGCAGAGATCGAAGATGAGGACGTGGAAGTCCTAAAGGATGTCGGCAAGGAGCCAGCCGAGAAGAGTGAAGAAGCACTGAAGAAAATCCTCGTCCAAGAGGGGGATGAAGAACGCTTCTTTCTTCTCGGCTCGGGCTTAGCCGAAGAAGAGGAAAAAGAATTGGAAGCTTTCTTGAGAGCAAATATTGAGGTGTTTGCTGGGACGCCTTACAAAATGCCTGGCATTGACCCCGAGGTCACTTGCCATAAACTAAACGTTGATAGGTCGGCAAAACCCGTAATCCAACGAGTAAGAAGACCGACGTTGATGCACGTCGAAGCAGTGAAAGAGGAAGTAGACAGACTTCTGGAGGCCAGGGCCATTCGAGAGGTAAATTAGCCGACATGGCTATCAAATACAGTGGTGGTGAAGAAAAAGAATGGTAAATGGAGAGTTTGTGTGGACTTTACCAGCCTGAATAAGGCCTGTCCCAAAGACAGCTTTCCTCTATCCAAGATTGACCAACTGGTAGACGCCACTTCAGGGCATGGAAGGATGAGTTTCCTGGATGCTTACAGGAGGTACCATCAAATAGCCATGTACCCCCCAGATGAAGAGAAGACTGCGTTTATCACTCCCAAAGGGCTGTACTGCTACAAAATGATGCCTTTTGGGTTGAAAAATGCAGGAGCAACTTACCAAAGACTGGTAACCAAGATGTTCAAACACCTGATTGGCGGAACGGTGGAAGTTTACATCGATGACATGGTCATGAAGACCAAGGAACTTGAAGGTCATCTGGCCGACCTAAAAGCAGTCTTTGACATCCTTAAAACATATCGGCTCCGACTCAATGCATCGAAGTGTGCATTTAGAGTGGAATCTAGAAAGTTTTTGGGATACCTGGTGACTAGAAGGGGCATTGAGGCCAGCCCAGATCAGATTAAGGCCATCCTGGAATTGAAGAGCCTAACGTCGGCAAAATAGGCACAAATGTTGACTGAAAGGGCCACAGCCCTAAATAGGTTCATAAACAGAAGCTCAGACAAATGCAAACCTTTCTTTAACTTAGTGAAGAAAGCCACAGACTTCTTATGGATCGAGGAGTGCGAAGCCTCCTTGGCTAACTTGAAGAAGTATCTAACCACGACTCCAGTTCTCTCAAATCCAGAACCTGGAGAGGAGTTGTTTTTTTACTTAGCAGTTTCATAACACAAAGTAAGCACGGTGGTAATCCAAGAAGAAAAATGGGAGCAAAGGGTTGTTTACTATGAAAGCAAAACCCTGGCCGATGCAGAAACGAGGTATCTACCCTTAGAGAAATTGACACTGGCTTTAGTAATGGCTTCAAAGAAGCTGAACCATTACTTCCAGGCCCATAAAATTGTGGTGCTAACTGAACACCCCTTGAAGTCCTTGCTGCAACAAGGAGACCTGACAGGAAGAATAGCCAGATGGGCAGTCGCCTTGGGCCAATATGACCTGGAGTACAGACCCAGAACAGCAATCAAAGGCCAAGTTTTGGCCGACTTTGTGGCGGAGTTCACACCAGAATCCATCAAACATCGGGCTCCGTTGAGCCAAGGTGAACGATGCCCAAACAAGCAAGGAAGAGCCCAGCCAAAGGCGAAAGAACAAAGGAAAGAAGAAAAACTCAGACCCTGCAGCATTTACATCAGCGACTCCTTTCGACTGTTTGTTGATGGGAGTTCAAACCGACAAGGAGCAGGGGCAGGAGTAGTATTGATATCCCCAGATGGGCAGGTGCTAGAACAATCGATTCGTTTGGGGTTCAAGGCCTCAAACAATGAAGCAGAGTATAAAGCACTCATCGTAGGACTGAAACTGGCAACAGCAGTACAAGCAGATGAGGTAATAGTCTTTTGTGACTCACAACTTATAGTCAACCAGACAACGGGAGAGTTTGCAGCCCGAGATGAAAGGATGTCGGCCTATGCAAAGGAGGTCATCAG